TAGCTTTAGCTGCTCCTACACATTCCGGTGGCTCCGTTACCGTCATGTATTTTAATAGATATTCATAAAAAAAAAAATAAAAAAAAAAATAAAAAAAAAAACTACTTACATTTAAAGGTGTACTCCGCACTACTGTCGGCGCTGCTGCTGCTTTCGGTTGTCCGTAATTTGAAGAAAATCCGACTTTCTTCTTCTTTTTCTTCAACTTAAAAAAACAAAAAAACAAAAAAAAAGCGCGCAAAGCACCTCTGGAAATCTAGCGGGAGGCGAGGCCACTAAGGACGGTAGCGATGCATCCTCAGAATTTGGGGAAAAGGAGGACGCATTTTGAGGCTGCATTTTAAGCGTCCTCAGAATTTTTGCCAAATGGGACGGCCTCCGCGCAGCGTTGTGACGTCACCGGCCTCAAAATGCGTACTACCAAGTACGCAGCCTGCGAATTGAGACGCACCCCCAGTCAAATCTTCCCTTAGTCCGTCAGCATACTGGTCCGTGTGGAAACACGTACCGCATCGGAGCCAGTCTCTTATCTATAGTCCCAGGGCATTGGAAAAGAGGGGGCAGGGGTATTAAGTGGGATTTCAATGTATGTAATAATTATTTGCATGGTAATAAGTAGGTGAAATGGTAATGTTAGTATGGTTAAATTATTTCATAAATATGTATGTTTTTGTATGAATGATGCTATTGTCTGTTTTTATTTTTCTACAATGTTAACTGTGCTTTATTGGGGATTTGCCTTCCTGTTTAATTGGGCTGTCCCAATTGGCTGATTATTGGTGGGTCTATTTAAGGGGCACACTCACAATGGCTTAGCAGGGCTGCTTGGAGAGACTGGTTGGAGAAACTGCTTTTGAAGGTCTGCTTAGAGAGACTATATTTAAAGTCAGCTTGCTGTGAGGCTGTCAGTGTTTTGTATTGCCTGCAATGGCTGGTTTTGTCTTCACCGTTGCACCAGTAAATAAACCGCTACACGCTTTTGAACTCGCATTTTGTTGTCAGCTGCTTCTTACCACCTTTTTGCAAGTCATCTGCTTACACCTCCTCTGACGTAAGACGTGAGCTGGCGAGCCGTTATCTCACAAATACCAAATTCAATCTAATTGTATGGGAATCTACGTTGCATTTGACGCACCACTACAAGATGAATCGACAGATTCGGCGGTATTCATTCACGGCAAATCATTGCAGCTTGGTGGCGGTGGCGTTAGCATAGTAGCATGGACGACGAGATGATTGAAAATGAACACAACGGAGATCTAATCCTATTGGCAGACAACCATTTAAAATGTAGGCAACGGCATGAAAAAACTGGTTTCTACTTTTACTTTTATACTTTAAGTAAATTTACAAGCCTGTACTTTGTTACTTTTACTTGAGTAAAGAAGTTTAATCAGTACTTCCACTTTTACCAGAGTATTTTTTAACACAAGTATCTGTACTTTTACTCAAGTACGGAAAGTGAGTACTTTTGCCATCTCTGACTACTTCTGAGCCAAAATATTTTTTAATGGGTTAGACTGAGCTAAAGTGAACTCCACATTAGGATGGCAGGGGATGTCAGAAAAAGATTACATAACCTGAAACCATTGCACTGATGTGTTTACAGGTGCTGGTCATAAAATTAGAATATCATGAAAAAGTAGATTGATTTCAGTAATTCCATTTAAAAAGTGAAACTTGTATATTATATTCATACATTACATACAAACTCATATATTTCAGATGTTTATTTTGTTTAATTTTGATGATTACAAATGACAACAAATGAAAATCTCAAATTCATCATATCAGAAAATTAGAATATTGTGAAAAGGTTCAAAATTGATGGCCCCTGGTGCCACACTCTAATCAGCTAATTAACTCAAACCACCTGCAAAAGCCTTTAAATGGTCTTTCAGTCTAGTTCTATAGGCTACACAATCATGGGGAAGACTGCTGACTTGACAGTTGTCCAAAAGACGACCATCGACACCTTGCACAAGGAGGGCAAGACACAAAAGGTCATCGCTAAAGAGGCTGGCTGTTCACAGAGCTCAGTGTCCAAGCACATTAATAGAGAGGCGAAGGGAAGGAAAAGATGTGGTCGAAAAAAGTGTACAAGCAAGAGAGATAACCGCACCCTGGAGAGGATTGTGAAACAAAACCCATTCAAAAATGTGGGGGAGATTCACAAAGAGTGGACTGCAGCTGGAGTGAGTGCTTCAAGAACCACCACACACAGACGTATGAAAGACATGGGTTTCTGCTGTCGCATTCCTTGTGTCAAGCCACTCTTGAACCACAGACAGCGTCAGAAGCGTCTTGCCTGGGCTAAAGAGAAACAGGACTGGACTGCTGGTGAGTGGTCCAAAGTCATGTTCTCTGATGAAAGTAAATTTTGCATTTCCTTTGGAAATCAAGGTCCCAGAGTCTGGAGGAAAAGAAGAGAGGCACTTCATCCACGTTGCTTGAAGTCCAGTGTAAAGTTTCCACAGTCAGTGATGGTTTGGGGTGCCATGTCATCTGCTGGTGTTGGTCCATTGTGTTTTCTGAGGTCCAGGGTCAACGCAGCCACATACCAGGAAGTTTTAGAGCACTTCATGCTTCCTGCAGCTGACCAACTTTTTGGAGATGCAGATTTCATTTTCCAACAGGACTTGGCACCTGCACACAGTGCCAAAGCTACCAGTACCTGGTTGAAGGACCATGGTATCCCTGTTCTTAATTGGCCAGCAAACTCTCCTGACCTTAACCCCATAGAAAATCTATGGGGTATTGTGAAGAAGAAGATGCAATACACCAGACCCAACAATTCAGAAGAGCTAAAAGCCACTATTAGAGCAACCTGGGCTATCATAACACCTGAGCAGTGCCACAGACTGATCGACTCCATGCCACGCCGCATTGCTGCAGTAATACAGGCCAAAGGAGGCCCAACTAAATACTGAGTGCTGTACATGCTCATACTTTTCATGTTCATACTTTTCAGTTGGCCAACATTTCTATAAATCCTTTGTTTTTATTGGTCTTCAGTAATATTCTAATTTTCTGATATGATGAATTTGAGATTTTCATTTGTTGTCATTTGTAATCATCAAAATTGAACAAAATAAACATCTGAAATATATGAGTTTGTATGTAATGTATGAATATAATATACAAGTTTCACTTTTTAAATGGAATTACTGAAATCAATCTACTTTTTCATGATATTCTAATTTTATGACCAGCACCTGTATATATAGATATATATATATTTTTTTTTTGGAGGGGGTGGGGGTGTCACTGTAAGATTAAAATTTCTTAATGCACTAGTTTGCACAAACTACAAATTACTTTGCCGCAAACCACAAAACGCGCAAAACCATCATTTAAATAGGGCGTCTCTAGGGCTGGGTACCGAACTTCGGGTCTTTTATGGTACCGACCGAAATGCTTCGGTTCTACCGAGTATCGAAACATGCCTAGTCTTTCGGTACCAAGTTTCGGTGATTGGCTGTAACACTTAACGTGATTGCGTCATCCAGGAAAAATACACAGGTGGTCCCGCCTACAGCCAGGGTTGATGTGTATCTGTTGTGAACTGGTTGTGAGCGTTGCGGAACTCCTTTAAAATGCCCCCCAGGTCAAAAGTGCGGCTTCACTTTATTAAGACTGATGCTAATAGTGTAGAGTAGACGTAAGCAATTTAAGAGCAGAAAGTTGCTCGGTGTTTGACTGCAAGAAGAGCGGACCGCAACCAGCGCGACCATCCTCCTCTCAGCAGCCCGTGGGCAGAGCAAAGCCAGAGCGGAGTAATGCTGTAATAATGTAATAATGCTGCAATTTCAAACTGGACGCAGCAGGAGAAGCAAAATCACGTCTGCTGCTTCCTTTTTTGCTGCTTGTACCAGCTTCTGACGCGCGGCTGAAGAAGCTTTGCTGCTCTGGCTGCGCGGTGCAAAAGTGGCTCTGATGCGCGTTGGGCGGAGCTACTCTATCCTTTATTTGCCTTGCAGCTATATTTGCTGTGATCAGTGGGAATAAAGTAGTTTTATTATGTTTTTAAGTGGGAAAATCCACCTGAAAACTTAATCAGTGCAGTCAGTTCATCCTGCCTTCCAATATTCTTTCTGTCGGAGCCGCTCAGACCCCCCCATACCAGCGGTGCGCTGTCAATAGGATCCCATTCAACGGGCTTGTTTGTCAGACATGGTAATTTTTCTAAAGTAAAACTGCTAAGTAAAAAGGTCCTCACAATGTTACAGTGAATATTAGACACTGATTTTTTTTTTTTTTATGTAAGAGGAAAAATGTAAATGGAAAAATCAGAGCTTAAAATAAAACTCAAGATTTGTACTTTTTTATGTTGAGTAATTTTCTTTTTCTTCGAATTGATATTATAAAACTGGTATCGAAAAAAGTATCGTTCAGGAACCGGTATCGAAGTGAAGGTATCGGTATTGGTACCGGTACCGAAAATTTTTGAACAATACCCAGCCCTAGGCGTCTCCAACAGTTTTGCGCCTGCCACCAGTTACGCAATCGCTCTTGTTAAATCACCCGCAAACCATGGTTCAGCCCCTCGAGCAAATTTCCAGTTTGCGAGCGCAAATTACTGCACGCAAAATTGGATCTTGATAAATCCGGCCCAATGGATGCTTGGAGAAAATGCCTGAAAATGCTGCATTTGTTGGAGTCTACAGTCCGTTTCATCAGGGTCGTTTTTCTGCTTTAATAAGTTCTAAAAACCCTTCAGACATCAACCAGGGGGAAATTCTTCCATATTGGATCAGAAGCTGCTTCTTAGCTGTTTATCTGTAGTCTAATGGAAAAGTCAGAACTTCTGGTTCTGGTAAAGTTTTGGTTATAGAGATAAATTGAGGTGAATATCCCTTCATGATGGAAAGATGAATTAAAGGTTAGACCACCTTGATGGGATGGCTTTGGCTTTTTAATCTATTTGTTCTGGATTTGTTTTTATTGTCTTCTCTACTACTGATGAACATCTGGAAGCAATAAAGGTTCTTTACCTTTTTTCTGGGTGGAGCAGACTGATGGTTTAGCTGTGGGGTCGTCGACGTTTTTCATTCCAGGACTCCAGAATGTTGGAGAGACGAGCAGGGCAGCCATGTTTCTCCTCCTTGGTGGTCTGTGTTCCCCATCCTCTGCTTTAGCTCCTTCATCAATGAAAGCAAAGTGTCCTCAGAGTCATAAACTGTCTGCATGTGATGCCTCTATAGTCAAACAACCAACATACCTCCAAATACGTGTGGATGGACTCTGTTCCCCTGAGATCCGACTGTTAGAACGCTGCTTCCATATTCAACCTGCTTCTCCTGTAAAAAAGAAGCTAAATTAATCTACAGAATTTCCTGACACCAAGTTTAAATCTGGGGCAGGATGTTGTTCAAATAGTCATCTTGGTCTCTCTGTGTTCTGCCTGGAAGCTTGAGTTGTCTGTTTGTCGTGTTAATAAAGGCTTACTGCACGTGTTCTCCTCTGTGCCGTCCTCAGGTGGGGACTAGGAGGCTCCTCAGCATCCTGGATGTCCCGGTTCCTCACAGCAGTTCTGATTTTGGACGTCCACAGTTCCTGAAAATATATGAAAAACTAAGTGAGGCCACCTGAAATGTTGACTTAATATTTAAATGATGGATTATTGTGTCTCCTTACTGAACATGCTCTCACTGTTTACTGCTCCTCCGGTTTGTTCGCCGTAGATCTCATCAGTGTCTTCTGACGGCCCAAAGCTTGTAGCGGCTCGGTCCGACATGGGATTCACAAACAAAGAAGAGATCCACTGCGGTCAGAACTGGCACAGATCATATGGAGAATATTTCTGCACAGGGTTCTTTCCCTTAAACTAGGCCTGAAAACTAACTGAGGAACATCTAGAACTAGATCAACTCACAGCTGAAAGCAGGTTCTAACAGTCGGCGCCATTCACAATCCACATCCCTAAATCAGTCCTTTCCTCTGCTTCAAACTGCTCTGAAATCAATTAGTCCCTCCAAGCATCGTCTTTATCTTCTCACCATCATCCCAGAGACCAGTGCAACTGGTGACCACCGCTTCATTGCCACTGTTCTATTCTAGATCTAGTTTGTCTCCAGCAGCATTGTCCTTCTATAGATCAGGGCTTTCCAGCTCCACTCCTCCAGAGCTGCTATGCCGCAGCTTTCAGTCACATCTCTTCTCCATCAGACCTGAATCAAACGTCTGAATTCCCTCATCAGTCATTCAGCTCTGTAGAGCTGTTTGATCCTGGTGTTTTGGAGGAGAGATGCGGCTGAAAGCTGCAGAAAAGCTGCTGCAGAGGACTGGAGTTAGTGACCTCTGCTTCACTACAGCCTTGTCCCTCTGCCTGTAGACTTGAAGTTTTCCTCATCTCCACTTTTAGACCTTTAGGATCATAGTTTGACCTCCGGGTATTAGTCCTCAGCAGCGATGTCTCACTAATCAAAGGTTTCGATGCATTCCCAGCAGCGATGTCCGGCTGTTGCCTCGATTTGGTTTGCCTCCAGGATTTAATTTTTTTTAGTTTTTATTTAGTTTTTGTTCATTTGCCTCCATTCTGTGTTTCTTCTTGTCAAACGTCATTTTTAAATCAATCCTTGGATTGTTTGGTTTGGCTTCTGTTAGCTAGGAGAATGTCCAGCTCTGTCTAGACGTAGAGCATGTTAGATTGTTTCCGCCTTAACCAGCTCTCATGTTTCATACCTTTTAGAAATTGTTAGTATGTCTCTGCTCAGATTTATGTGCTAAAGGAAAATTCGTAACATTTAAAACTTAAATTAAAACCTAGCAGCGGGGTAAAGAAAAGCCACGGCGCAAGACATCAAGACAAAGGCATCCCTAGACCTGCCAGATATAAACACAATCAATAAATTATACCTAGATATGATTGTTTCCACCTCCAATCATCATCAAATCAAGAAAATACATCTAACTCCTACAAAATGATCCAAAGCAAGATGGTAAAATGTTTGGTTCTTCTGCTGAAGCCTCAGCTTCTCTTCATTGTGAGAAGTTGTTGAAGGAGTTAAAGGAAGATTCTTGATCAAATTCCTCTTCTCACAGGTCCCGACAAAAACGCTTCATAGGGGGCTCCTCTTCGTCATCTTCCTCTCTTCCCCTCCTCCGGGAAGAAGGGCCGGGCCGTGGAGGTCGGTGGTCCACTTCACTCTCCGAGGAGTCCTCTGGCGGCGCCTGGTACCGTTGGAGTCTGATGAAACGGGAAACCGTCTCAATGAAGCGAAGATGTGTTTGAAGGGGGTCATCTTCTTCACTGTCTTCTTCCTCAGAGCTCATGGTATCATACCCAGAGAAATCACTAGACGCCTCAAGAGACTCACTAGAAAAAGACCCATCCTCATCAGAATCCTCTATCTCCTGTTCTTCATTTACCACCCCTTCTGGGACCTCTGCCTCATTATCATCCTCCTCATCATCATAATCCTCTAGCTCCTGCTCCTCATTTACCACCCCTTCTGGGACCTCTGCCTCATTATCATAATCCTCTAGCTCCTGCTCCTCATTTACCACCCCTTCTGGGACCTCTGCCTCATTATCATCCTCCTCATCATCATAATCCTGTAGCTCCTGCTCCTCATTTACCATCCCTTCTGGGACCTCTGCCTCATTATCATCCTCCTCATCATCATAATCCTCTAGCTCCTGCTCCTCATTTACCAACCTTTCTGGGACCTCTGCCCCATTATCATCCTCCTCATCATCATAATCCTCTAGCTCCTGCTCCTCATTTACCACCCCTTCTAAGACCTCTGCCTCATTATCATCCTCCTCATCATAATCCTCTAGCTCCTGCTCCTCAATTACCACCCCTTCTAAGACCTCTACCTTATTATCATCCTGCTCATCATCATAATCCTCTAGCTCCTGCTCCTCATTTACCACCCCTTCTGGGACCTCTGCCTCATTATCAACCTCCTCATCATCATAATCCTCTAGCTCCTGCTCCTCATTTACCACCCCTTCTGGGACCTCTGCCTTATTATCATAATCCTCTAGCTCCTGCTCCTCATTTACCACCCCTTCTGGGACCTCTGCCTCATTATCATCCTCCTCATCATCATAATCCTCTAGCTCCTGCTCCTTATTAACCACCCCTTCTGGGACCTCTGCCTCATTATCATAATCCTCTAGCTCCTGCTCCTCATTTACCACCCCTTCTAAGACCTCTGCCTCATTATCATCCTCCTCATCATAATCCTCTAGCTCCTGCTCCTCAATTACCACCCCTTCTAAGACCTCTACCTTATTATCATCCTCCTCATCATCATAATCCTCTAGCTCCTGCTCCTCATTTACCACCCCTTCTGGGACCTCTGCCTCATTATCAACCTCCTCATCATCATAATCCTCTAGCTCCTGCTCCTCATTTACCACCCCTTCTGGGACCTCTGCCTTATTATCATAATCCTCTAGCTCCTGCTCCTCATTTACCACCCCTTCTGGGACCTCTGCCTCATTATCATCCTCCTCATCATCATAATCCTCTAGCTCCTGCTCCTCATTAACCACCCCTTCTGGGACCTCTGCCTCATTATCATAATCCTCTAGCTCCTGCTCCTCATTTACCACCCCTTCTAAGACCTCTGCCTCATTATCATCCTCCTCATCATCATAATCCTCTAGCTCCTGCTCCTCATTTACCACCCCTTCTAAGACCTCTGCCTCATTATCATCCTCCTCATCATCAGAACCCTCTATCTCTTCCTCATCATTAATCACCACATCTACGACCCTAAACTCATCATCAGACTCCACATCAACAGTAAAATCCTCCTCTACATCATCTGAGAACAGCCCTATATTCATATAGAAAGGGAATTCAACCTGATCCGTGATCAAGATCCAGAACTCCAGGGCAGGATCAGATGGAAGCGGGGCGTCTGGAGCAGTGAGGAAAAAAATCATTAGACCAGGAACATTAATTAAGGAACATCAAATCACAATACTCAATGCTTTATTTTAGGTTGCTGAATGTGCCTGTGAGAGTTAGTCAGGTTTAAGGAGATTTAATCAATAAAAACATCAATCTGTGCATACATACATATTTTTATGTATATATGTGTGTATATTAGGGGTGGAACGGTTCACAAAATCCACGGTTCGGTTCGATTCACGGTTTCTGGTCACGGTTTTCGGTTCGATTCGATACATGTTGATTGTTACACCGAAATCCCATAAAAATTTATGAAATTAATGAAAAAATCCCCCCAAAAATAATGGATTGTAATTATTTTAAATGATCCACGGAAACCCTGGATCATTTCCGTATTTTTTGCTGCTTTGAATTTAATCATCTGGCGCAGGCTCTTTAACCTGACAACAGCCAGATGCATGTCTCGCTCATGCATCTGGCTGTTGTCAGGTTACATGCTCTCTACCATCTCCAAGGAACTCAGAGGGGAGCAGACGAAGCCACAGTGGGGGCTGTAGGCTTTGCTTTGAGCAGCCGGTCTGGAGCGCAGCGGGGTGGAGCGGGGGTTGCTGACGGAGTATGAGGGATTTCGGGGTTAGCATATGTTGCTGTTAGCATAAAACAAAACGTGTTGCACAATGCTTGCACACTGTTGCACTTTTATCCACAACTTTCTTTCCGCCGTCATCGTAGGTCACTCTAAATGCAAAGCGCTCCCATACAGCAGACCTATAAAGTGCTGCTGGCGCGTCTTCCAACTCCTGTTCTTTCCCACTCGCCAGTCCAACACAATTCTCCACAACAACTGATTTTTTTCCCTGCTACACCCGGCTAAGCTGCTTCACTTCTTCTTCTTCTTGTTTACTACTGGCGGTTGGCTTTGGTCGCAGTACCGCCACCTTCTGCTCTGGAGTGTAATCGCTTCCTCTATGAGAAAAAGGAGCAGCGCATGAACCGAACGAAACACACGCGAACCGAACCGAGACAGTCGAACCGAACGATTCTGACGGTTTTCATAAATCGTTCCATCCCTAGTGTATATGGTCCTCGGCATCATTGTGGGGACCTTTTTTGTTATTTCACAGTCACACTGAGGAGCGATTGTCGTAAAGGGAGGACATTTTATTGGTCCTCATGTGCGTTTTGCTGACAGCTAGGTTTAGAAAAAAAGCTACAATATCCTTTAAATCACGAGACTACCACAAAATTGAAAATGTATTTTAAATTCAAATCTTTATTTTACTAGTTATTGGGGTTTTGATTTTTTTTTCAGGATGTTATCAATATAAAAATACGCTCCAAATTGTCCATTTACTTACTTTATTTCTATTACGCTCCCTGCTATTACACTAAACTCCCCCTAGGGGGCACGCTTCCACATTTGGGAGCAACTGACCCAGACTATTCATTTGGATTTGTTCAGATTAAAGGACATTTTAAAGGCACACTATGCAACATTTTTCATTTAATTAATGTGTTACATAACGTTTTGGATGATTAAATGAGTCATTTCAGGTTGAACAAAGGTATTCTCGGCCGCCCTGGTGGTCTGTGGGGAAATACCGCACTTGCAATTGCAGGAGCACCGACCCGCACCCACAGGCTCAGAAGTCTCGCGAGAGTCAGTCTTGCTTTACGGCGAGAACTGCTACACGCCCCCAGTTAAAAGCATGCTCGTTGCTAGCACAGTGGCGATCTTTGTGCAGTTATGCTACGTTCACATCGGACGCAGCAAAATCGCGTCTGCTGCTTCATTTTTGCTG